GTTCTACCTAGACAAATGTGGTCTTCACAGAGGATCAAGGACTCTCTCTTGTGGCACAGGGCTATGGCCATTCTCTATCTATGGAACTCCAAGCAAGAATGACAATAAACCACAACCTGGGTACAATGATTACCTAGTAACAGAGTTGCAAATCCCAGGACTACATGACATTGCTAGCATATTGGCACACTCTCAATCAGTAGACACCCAAGCCACATACACTCACAGACAGCTGGCTTTCACAGTGGCTGGACTTGCTCCCTGGTAGGTACTGTTGAGATGTGTGTGTTTTGGGAAGTGAAGGCTTGGCAAAAACTGGGTCGGAGTTGTGTTGTGTGGAAGACCACAGAAAGCAGAGCTTGAGACACCTGCCTACTTTTCACATTAGCCTAAAAGGGGCCTGTCTGTAGCCATGGCTTTTCCAGATTGCTAAGGCTGTAGCATTCCAGGCCACCTATGCCCAGGCAGCTGCTAATTGGATGGCTGATATGAACACAGAGCCCTGCTGGGTCATGGATAGGGAGCCAAATGCGATGCTGCCTATACCTGGACAGCCACATGGGCATGGGTGAGTGAAGCAAGAGTGAGGGTTGAGGTCACGGTCCACCAAACGTGATATAATGTCACCTGCCTCTTGGTCCAACTCATCCAACCCCATGCCTGGGAGCTTCCTGTCATCTGGAACTCACACCACCTGTGGCAGCTGGCTTAAATCATATGCCTATCACACTGTTACAGTAATCCACCACAAACACACACAGACCATGTGCCAACTGTCACGCACTTTTTGGCAACTGCTTGCTACCCCAGAAACCAAGATGCACCACAGCTTCTGACAGGGATCTGTCCCCCATAGCTGGACCTCACTAAGCAGGGCGCACACTTTAAACAAGTGCTGGAAAAGAGCTGAATGGTGATTTGATTTAAACAAGGGACCTTCCCCATGCAGTTTCAAATCATTCCTCTGGGCACTCCCCTGTTCTATCTATATGAATGTGGTCTTTGTAGTACCTCAAGGACTGTCAGTTGTGGCACAGGACTATGGCCATCCTCTGCCTACATGGCTCTAAAGAGAATGACAATGAAACCACAACATGTGTGAAACATTTTCATAGTAACAGTGTTGCAAAAGCCCTGGTCTTCACTCTGTTTTCAGCGTATTAGCACACTTCCACTCAGTAGACCTCATACCCCATACACTTATGAGCAGCTGGAATCAACAGTTCTGGCATCCTACCTCGTAGAGCCTGTGGAGATATGTGTGTGTGTGTGGGAAATGGATGCTGGAAAGGGGCTGAATGGCAATTTGAAGGAGACCACAGGAAGCAGAACTTAAGCCGCCTGGAGGCTTTCAGCACCAGGCAAAAAATGGCCTTTCTGTTACCATGATTTTTCCAGAATAAAGAAGCCATAGCATTCCGGGAGGCTTATGATCAGGTGGCTGCTGATTGGATGGCTGTTCCGACCACAGAGCCCTGTGAGGTCACAGAGGGGCCAACAATTTTGATGTTCTCTATATTGGTACAGCTACATGAGACTACGTGAAGGCTGATGTCATTGTCCACCAAAGTTGCTGTGCTGTCTCCTGCCTGTTGGTCCAACTCCTCTACCCCCATGCCTGAGAGCTTTGTGTCATCTGGAGCTCCACACCACATGTGACAGCTGGCTTACAATACTATATTTGCCAAATTGCTGCAATGGCCCACCACACAGACATGCACATACAACACCCTGCCATGCACTTCTTTTGCAGTTGCTTGCTACAATAAGAATCCAAGATGCACTACAGCTTCTGACATAGATCTGTCCCCTATAGTTGGACCTCGCTGGGCAGGGCACCAACTTCATAAAATGGATTGCCTGAACAATGTGGCATACCATTCTTGTGGATCCCTGTTCTATATAGCTGAATGAGGTCATCAGAGTGGCTCATGTACTGTTCATTGTGGCACAGGGCTATGGCCATCCTCTTCGTATGTTACTCTAAGAGAATGACAATGAAACCACAACACAGGTGAAATGTTTTCCCAATAAAATTGTTGCAAAAGTCCTGGGCTTCACTCCATTTTCAGCATATGGGCATTGTCCCACTGGTTAGATACCCAAGAACCATAGAGTCACGGACAGCTGGAGTCCGTTGAGGTAAGAGATCCTCACTGTAGTGCTTGTGGAATGTGTATGTGTGTTGGTGAGAGAGGGGGAAGGAATGGCCAGGGCCAGGGCTATGGATGAGAGTAGTTTGCGGAAAGATCTTGAGCCTCCTGCCAGATTTCTTCACCAGGCCAAAAGTGGCCTGTCCGTCACCATGGCTTTTCCAGAATGCTGAGGGCAGAGCATTCCCGGCTGCTTATGATCAGGTGGTGCTGAGTGGATGGCTGGGAAAGCCATAGATCCCTGTAGGTCATAGAGAGGCAGCTAATCGGGATGCTTCCAGGACTGGAATTCCACATGGGCTTAGGCGAGTGAAGCAAGGGTGAAGGCTGAGGTCATAATTGACAAAAGTTGCTGTGCTGTCACCTGCCAGATGGTCCAACCCTCCCCACCCCCATGCCTGTGAGCTCCCTGTCATCTGGAGCTCCACACCACTTGGGGCAGTTGCTTATAATCCTATGGCTGTCACACTGCTACAATGCTCCACCCTACACAGACACCAGTTACCCCCGTCACGCATTTTTTGGCAACTACTTGCTACCTCAGGAATCCAAGATGGAAGACAGCTTTGACTTGGATCTGTACCCCATAGTTGGACCTCATTGGGCATGGCATCCACTTCACACAAGAACCACTTCTACACGGGGTCAAACTATTATTGTGGGTCCCTGTGCTATCTAGACAAAAGTGGTCTCTGTAGTGGCTCAAGAAGTGTTTGTTGTGACACAAACGTATGCTCATCCTCTGCATACGTGACTCTAAACAGAATCCCAAAGAAATCACAACCCGGAAGAAATGTATTCCTAGTATCAGTGTTGCAAAATTACTGGATTTGTCATTTTCAGCATATTAGCACACTTCCACTCAGTAGTGCCTTAAGCTCCATATACACATGGGCTCCTGGATTCCAAGGAGGCTGAACATACTCCCTCATAGGGCCTATGGCAATGTTTGTGAGTCTGTGTGAGAAAGGGATGGTGAGCGGGGCAGGAGCGGCATTTTGTGGTAAGACCACAGAAAGCAGAATTTGAGCCACCTGCCCGCTTTTTGCATTAGCTCAAAAAGGGTCTGTTGCAGCCATGGCTTTTCCAGAATGCTGAGATTGTAGCATTCCAGGCATTTTATGAACAGGCAGCTCCCAATTTGATTGCTGGTATGAACACAGAGTCCTGTGAGGACATGGAGGGGCAGCCAATCGGAATGCTTCCTATATTTTTACAGCCGCATGGGCTTAGGTGGGTGAAGCAAGATTGAGGGCTGAGGTAGGGGCCACCAAACTTGTGCTGTCACCTGCCTGATCGTCCAACTCCTCCACCCCCATGCCTGAGAGCTTCTTGTGATCTGGAGCTTCACACCACCTGTGGCAGTTGGCTTATAATCCTATAGATGCGAAACTACTAGAGCGGCGCAGCCATCCCTCCCAAACACATATACACCCCATTGGCAATTGCCTGCTACTCCATGAATCCCAGATTCACCACAGCTTCTCTCCCTCCTTGTTGAACTCGCTGTGCAGCGTGCCCACTTCAGCTTTTGACATGCATTTGTCCCTCTTGGTTCAACCGTGCTGATAAGTGCACCTTTTTCATAATGCATTGGACAGCCCCAACGCTGTGTCAAACCTTTCTCATTGGTCTCTGTTTTACCTAGCAGAATCTGGTGTTCAGAGTGAGTCAAGTATTGTTCATTGTTGCACAGAACTATAGCCATTTTCTGCCTACGTGACTCTAAAGAGCATGACAATGAAACCAGTTTCATAGTACCAATGTTGCACTCCTTTTCCTGCACATTAGCACACTCCAACTCATTAGATCCCAAAGCCCTATACACTAACGGGCAGCTGGATTTCACAGAGGCTGGACATCCTCCTGTTAGGGCTTATGGGGATGTGCGTTTGTTGGAGCAGATGGTAGTTGAGGGGAAGAAAACTGAAAGCAGAGCTTGAGCCACCTGCCCACTTTCTGCACCATGTCAAAAGTGGCCTGCCTGTCACCATGGCTTTTCCAGAATGATGAGGCCTTAGTATTCTCCTCTGCTTATGTCCATGCTGCTCTTGTTAGAACAGCTGGTACAGCCACAGAGCCCTGTGAGTTCATGTAGAAGCAGCCAATTTTAATGGTCCCTATATAGTTTCAGTCGCATGGGCTTAGGTAAGTGAAGCAAGATTGAGGGCTGAGGTCACAGTCCAATAAATTTGCTGTGCTGTGACTTGCCTATTGGTTCAACTCATCTACCCCCATACTGAGAGCATCCTGCCATCTGGAGCTACACACCACATGTGGCAGCTGGCTTACAATCCTATAGATGCAAAACTAATAGAATGGCACAGCCATCCCTCCCAAACACACATACACCGCATTGGCAACTGCTTGCTACAACATGATTCCCAGATTCACCAGAGCTTCTATCCCTCCTAGATGAACTCGCTGCACAGTGTTCCTACTTCATATATGGGACAGTCCTAACGCTGTGTCAAACCATTTTTGTTGATCCCTCCCTGTGCTACCCAGAAGAATTTTCTCTCAGTAATGGCTAAAGGACTCTTCATTGTGGGCCAGGGCTATGGTCATCCTCTGTACATGAATCTAAGAGAATGACAATGAGACCACAACCTGGGAGAAACACTTTCCTAGTAACAGTGTTTCAAAAGCTCTGGGCTTCCCAAAATTTTCACATTATTGGCACACTTCCACTCGGAAGACACCCAAGCCCCATTCACTCATGGACAGCTGGCTCCCACATAGGCTGCACTCCTCCCTGATAGGACCTGTGGGGTTGTGTGTATGATTTTAGGGCTAAGAAGCAGAGGGGTGTTGGGATAATAGCACAGAAAGCAGAGCTTGAGCCACCTGCCTGGTTTCTGCACCGGGCCAAAAGACTCTCTCTGTTCCAAGGGGTTTTCTAGAATGTTGAGGCTGTAGCATTCGGGCTGACTATGACCAGGCTGCTGCTGAGTGGATGGCTGCTACAGACACAGAGCCCTGTGGGGTCACAGAGCAGTAGCCAGTCCTGACCCTTCCTCTACCAGCACAGCATAATGGGCTTTGTTGATGCAAGAGTGAAAGCTGAGGTCATGGCCCACGAAAGTTGCTGTGTTGTCACCTTCCTGTTGGTACAATTCATCCATCCCCATGCCTACCAGCCTCCAGTCGTCTGGAGCTCCACAACCCCTTGAGAACTGGCATAAAATCCAATGGACATCCAACTCTTACAACAACTCTCCTGCGTGGATGATTTGTGTGTGTCAGAGATTTGGAGGGATGTTGGTTGGAAGACCACAGAAAGCAGAACTTGAGCCACCTTCCCCTTTCTGCACCAGGCCATAAGGGCTTATCTGTCGCTCGCCAAAACTTTTCTTTTTAATATTATTATTATTAATAACCTTGTATTATGCGATACAGTTTTATAGGTACTGGAATTCACCCCCCCCCCCGCCCTGCATAACTCTTCCCCTATAGTGGATTCCTCCACCTTGTTGCATAACAACAGTTCAAGTTATTTTGAGATTTCTTCATTGCAAGCATAGAGTCCAGCATCTTATTGTCCAGATAAGTTCAACGGCTTCTTGGGGATACCTTCTCTAGTCTGAAGGTAGAGTGAACAGAGTAAAATCCTGACCGATTAAAAGCCCCAACATAACATCAGCAACAATATACAATGTTATGGTATTAATTGACATAGGATTGAGTAAACAGTATTTTGAAAACAATGCCAGTTCTTAATCACAACCTGTGACCACTCCATTGACATTTGAACAATTGTGGTGCAAAACAGTTATAGGAGGGGTGTGTAGAGAAATCTTCAATACCTTGTTGAGGAGTACTTACTCTTTCTGTCCCACCTAGTAAGGTATGTGTGAGTCCAATATGACAAAGCTTTCCTTGTAATTCTCTATCTATTCTAATGTGTGTGTGTGCACATGTGTGTGTGTGTGTGTTTGTGGGAGGGGGCTCTGGAGTGACCCTGATGGTCATTGCAGAGAGGGTAGAGACCCAAAGTTGGAACTAATTTAGGACCAGAGAAAGCTCCCCTCCCTAGTCCTGAAGGAAGTTTACTGTTCTTCTGATTCTGAGGACTGTTCTGGGTTGCTGGCTATTGTTTCAATGACCTTGGATCCTACGAGGTAGAATTCAGGCTTTTTTCATTACCTGTGGTAGATTCAAACGGGGGGGGGGGGGTTGCCCTCTGAGTTTTAGGGCGCCGAAGCATTCCAGATCCCCATGGTCTCTTTGGCAGTTGAGACACAGTCCTTGGTGCCTGTACTGATAGTCCTTTTTGGGGATCCAGGAGTCTCCAGGGTTGGGATACAATCCTCATCCTGTCCCCATACTCCACTCTGGGGTGCCCCCCTGCTCTGTGCATTTGACCTCCTGTTAATAGGTTTTTAGGGTTGCTCTTGTTTCCCCCTGTCTATCTTTCTAGTTTAACTATTGTCTAATGCTCTTTTGAATCTATTGCCAATAAGTTACTTATTATTTTCCTAATAGGTTACAATACACGTCTTCCTCACACATGCTAACGAGATTGAAGATTTCTGTACTCTGCTGCCCCATTTCTGATTAGCAAAAGGTTTTGAAAGTAAATAGCTTTTAAAATTTTTGAAAACAAACCGGTTGAGACAGTATTAATTACAGGTTTAAAATAATTATAGGTTAAATTAAAGCAAACATGTGGTATCTAATCTTTTGGGGTTGGCTCTTTTCCTTTAGAATGATATTTTCCATTTCGGCCCTGCATTTCTTTTTTTTTTTTTTTTCTTTTTTTCCTTTTTTTTCTTTTAAGAGCTGAGTAGTATTCCATGGAATAGGTGAAGCATAGATTTCTTATCCAGTCTTCTATTGATGGGCATTTCGGTGGCTTCCATGTTTTTGCAATTACTGATTGTGCTGCTATGAACATAGGGGTACATGTTGGTTTCTCGTATAACCGGTATTTTGGATATATTTTTAGGAGTGCTATTGCTGGGTCACAAGGTATGCAGATTTTTCAGTTGTTTGTGTGTTCTCCATACTGATTTCCATAGAGGCTGTACCAACCTGCAGTCCCACCAACAATGGAGTAGCGTTCTCTTTTCTCCATATCCTTTCCAGCAAGTGTTGTTGGTGTTTGCCTGTATGTTGTCCAATTTTACAGGCCTCAGGTGGCACTGCATTGATGTCTTCATTTGGATTTTTGTTATTGCCAGAGAGTTTTAGCCCTTTTTCTCATAATTGTTTGCCATTTGTGTTTGTTCCTTTGTGAAATGTCTGCCCATTTCCCATGCCCATTTCTTGAGTGGCCTGTTTGTTTTGGTATTTTGGTTGTTTTGGGATTCTTTGTTTCTTTTTTGTTGTTGTTTGTTTGTTTGTTTTTTCTGGAGATTAGCTCTCTATCACCTATGCAGTGAGCAAAGATCATCTCCCATTCCATGAGTTGCTTTTTTACTTTGTAATTCTTGCCCTTGCTGTGCAGCAGCTTCTTAGCTTGATGAGGTCCCATTTGTTTATTTTAATCTTGATTGCTATTGCTTTTGGTGTCCATTTTAGGAAATCAGGACCTACTCCTAGATCTTGCAGGGTATTTCCAACATTTTCTTCCAAAAGTTTGAAGGTCTCTGGATTTAGTTTTCGGTCTTGTATTCATTTATGTTTGATCTTAGTGCATGGTGATAGATGCGGGTCTATCTTTGTGTTTCTGCAAGCTATCAACCAGTTGTCATAACAGCCTTTATTGAAGAGACCTTCCCCTTAGCCTGGATTGTTGTTTGTCTTTTTGTCAAAGTTTATTTGGCCATAATTGCATAGGTTTCCTTCTGTTACTTCTATTCTGCTCCACTGGTCTTCCTCTCTGTCTTTGGGCCAGTACAAAGCTGTTTTGATAACAACTACACTGTAGTATATCCAGAGAACAGGAATTGTGATTCCCCCTGTTAAATTTCTATTCTTCAGAATCGTTCTAGCTATTTGTGGGTTTTTTTGTTTCCAGATGAACGTTTGTATCATTGTTTCCAGTTTCATGAAGAATGTTTTCGGCAATTTGATTGGGATTGCATTGAATTTATATTGCTTTTGGTGCTATAAATATTTTAATGATATTGATTTTACCTATTCAAGAGCATGGCATGTTACTAATTTTTTTTGAGTTTTTGTTCAATTTCTTTTTAAAGTAATGTCTAGTTTTCTTCAAAAAGATCTCCTACAATTTTTGTTAGATTTATTTCTAGATACTTCACACTTTTCTTTGTTACTTTGAATGGTATTATGTTGGTTAGATCTCCTTCTATCTTGGGGGCTGTTTGCATACACTATGGCTGTTGATTTTTGTTTATTTTGTACACTGCCACTCAACCAAACTCTCGTATCAGTTCTAACAGTCTCTGTATTGAGTCTCTTGGCTTTTCAACGTAAAGGATCATGTCATCCATGTATAGTGGAAGCTTGACTGGTTCATTTCCCATTTGAATTCCTTTGATTTGTTTGTCTTGTCTTATGGCCTCAGCGAATACCTCCAGGACTATGTTGAATAGCAGTAGAGATAGCAGACATCCTTGTCTTGTTCCAGATCTCAGTGAGAAGGGTTCCAGTTTTGCTCCATTCAGGCTGAGGCTGGCATTGGGGTTTTCATATATTGCTTTGATTGTGTTCTGAATTGTTCGTTCTATGCTTGCCCTGGCTAAGGTTTTTAGCATGAAGTGGTATTGGATTTTGTCAAAAGCTTCTTCTGTGTTTTTTGATACTATCATATGATTTTTGTTCTTCAGTTTTTGGATGTGGTGTATTACGTTTTCGGATTCCTGAATGTTGAACCATCTCTGCATGCCAGGGTTGAATCTTACTTGATCCAGATGAATGATTGGTCTGATTTCCTTTTTTTTTTTTTTTTTTTTTGAGTTCTATTGGCTAGGATTTCGTTGAGAAACTTAGCATCAATGTTCATCAGGAAGTTTGGTCTGTAGTTTTCCTTCTCTGTCAGTTTTCTTACGGGTTTTGGGATTAAGGTGATGTTAGCCTCATAGAATGAGTTTGGAAGTGTTGCTTCCTTTCCTATTGCTTTGAATAGTGTGTAGAGGATTGGGGTTAGTGCTGTTCACAATGTTTTGTATAATTCTGTAGTGAAACCATCTGGGCCTGGACTTTTCTCTGTTTGGAGATGTCTAATTATTGATTCAATCTCTGCCTGAGTTATGAGTTTGTTTAGGTCTTTTCTTGCCTCTGGGTTAAGTTTTGGTAGGTGGAGGAAGTCTAATAAATTTTTCACTTCTTAATGGTCTACTGACTTGTTGGAGTATAGTTCATTGTAGTAATTTCTAATTATTTTCTAAATGTTTGCAGTGGCTGCTTTTATGTTGCCTTTTTCATCCTTGATGCTGTTAATTATAGCTTTCTCTTGTTTTTTCTTTATCAGTGGAGTGTCTATTTTGTTTATCTTCTCTAAAAACCAGCTTTTTGATTCGTTGGTTTTGTGTATATTTTTTTTTTCTATATTTCTATTTGGTTTATCTCCTCCTTTGTTTTATATTGCATATGTGGCTCTTCTGCTGCTGTTTTTCTAATTCCTGGAGGTGTGTGATAATTCTTGTATTTTGCATCTTACTTGGTCCTTGACATGAGCTCCAATTATGAAGATCTTATCCCATAGCACTGCCTTGGCAGTGTCCCACAAGTTTTGGAATGTACCAGAGTTTTCATTCATTTCCATAATTTTGTTTATACCATCTTTAATTTCTTCTCTGACCCATTGTTTGTTTAGTAGAATGTTCTTTAACCTCAAAGAATTTCTGTATTCCCCGGGGGCATTTGGAATTGTTGATTTCTCGTTTCATTCCGTGGTGGTCTGAGAGGGTATGTGGTATGATTCCAATTTTTTTGATGTTAGTGAGGCTTGCTTTGTGCCCTATCATGTGGTCAATACTGCAGAAGGTGCCATGCACTGCTGAAAAAATATATAATCTATGGCCATAGGATTGAAAATTCTATAAATGTCTACCAAGTACAGTTGTTCCATTGTTCGTGTGGGCTCTGTTGTTTCTTGGTTGAGTTTTTGCTAATTTGATCTGTCTATTGGTGTTAATGGGGTGTTGAAATCACCCCAATTATTGTGTGCATATCTATATCTCCCCTTAAATCTGTAAGTAATTGCTTCACATAGGTAGGTGTGTTGGAATTTGGTTTATATATGTTCATGATGGTAATTACTTCCTGATGGATCATTCCTTTCACCAATATAAAATGACCTTCTCTGTCCCTTTTGATGTTTGGCACATTGAAGTTTATATCATCTGAAATTAGGACAGCTACACCAGCTTTTTTGTTTTTTCTCTTATCTATTGGCATGAAATATCTTTTTCCAACCCTTTACTGTCAGTTATTTAGCGTCTTTTCTGGTTAGATGTGTCTCTTGTAGGCAACAGATAATTAGTTCCTGTTTGATGAAAGAGTCCGTTAATGTATACCTTTGGAGTGGTGAGTATGCACGCTGTATGCATTAAGAGTTAATATTGAGAGATTGCAATTTTACCCTGCAATGCATATGTGTTTTCGAGGGTGTTAGTATCTGTGGACTTTATCCTTTTTGTGTGGACTCTATTGGGGAGACCTTCCTGTTTGCCATCTTTGCTTATGGTTTGTCTTCTTTTTTCTGGATTTATAGTATTTCTAAAGAGATTTTTGTAGAGCTGGTTTTGTGCTGGCATATTCTGCTAGTTTCTCTTTGCTCTGCAAGTATCTGATTTCATTCTCATATACAAATGAGATCTTGCCGGGTACATTATTCTTGGCTGACAGTCGTTCTGATTCAGGAGTTGGAAGATCTTTGTCCACACTTTCTTGCATGTAGGGTCACTTCAGACAAGTCCATAGTGTTTCTGTTTGGTTTCCCCCTGTATGTGCTCTTTTCTCTGCTTCTTACTTGTCTCAGGATTCTTTACTTTTCTTTGTTGGAGTGGAACCTGAGCACCATATGTCTGGGTGAAGATCTGTTTGGCTTGTATGTTTTGGGAGTTCTCTAACCATCCTGGATTTGGAAGGGGTTCATATTCCAAATGTTTTGGAAGTTTTCCTGTAAAATTTTGTTGAGCAGCATTTGCATTCCTAACTCTTCCCACTCCTTCCTGAATGCCAATAATCCTGATATTTGATTTTCTGAGTTGGTCTTTGATTTCTGGTGTTTTCTTGTTGGCTTTGTCCAGACTTTGTTTCCAGCTGTTTAATGAGCTGGGTATCCTCATTTTGTGTGTCTCCCATATCAGAGATCCTCTCTTCTGCTGTATTTATTCTGTTGGTTAGACTCTCAGCTTTGTGCTCTAAGAATTTTGCTTTTCATTTGTTGTATTTCTGTTACTATGTGGTTCTTCAATTCTTTGAAGTCTTCCCAGTTCTTCTCATTGTCTCTGACGAATTTTACCATTATTTTTAAAAATTCCTTGTCTGGTAGAACTTCCATGTCTTCATCTTGCATCTCCAAAATAGATATTGGCTTTAGGTCTTCTTTTTCGTAGGGTTCTGGCTCTCTCATCTGAATCACTGCTTTTTCTAATGCTTCGTCTCATTGCGTTATTATTTCTCCTTGATTTGGAGGATATATTCTCTGGTTTGTTTATCCTCAGTTTCTGGTCTCAGTGTAGTAGACTGTGGTAAGTGTGAGTCTGCTCCTGCTTTTTTTGTTTGCATGCAGAAGAGAATTTATTTAAATCCTGTTGGAGCCTTTTGGTGGGGTTGGGTGTAGCCTGTTAATCCCTGGGTGTATATTGTCCTCTGTAGCTTGGTTTCTCTAAGGTCTGTTGGCTGTGCCTTCTTCCTGTGTGCGTCTTCAGGGTTAGCGCATAGTAGCAGCACTTTTTAGCTTCAGCACTCCATGATTCTGGTTTGGACGGATTTGGGAGACGCACAATGCCCCTCAGGCCTGTTAGGGAGTATGCATCAGGCTGGCAGGGACTCTAGCTATGTGTGTCGAGGCCAGTGACACAGAGCCTGCAATTGTGCAGCTGCGCGGCCCTGTCCTGACTTGAAATTCAAGCACTGGTCTGCTGAGCGTCCACCCAGCACTGTCCCTCAGAGAAAGTGAAGCCACAGAGGCCAGTAACACCCATCTTGATGTCCTCAGGTAATCAGCCGCAAGACGCTGCTCTGTCATGAATCTCAGGTGCTGGAGTGCTCTGAGACCCACAGAGAAAGTAAAGCTACACTCTCTGCTGGTGTCCGCCACCTCAAAGCTCTCTGGTGCTTAGCAACGGGATGCTGCTCTGAAGTGAAAGTCTGGGACTGGAGTGCGGATGGGCCACCTAGTGCTGGCCCCACAGAGAAAGTGAAGCTGCACTCTCCATTGATGTAGCACCACTGGGGTTTTGTAGGAGCGCTACATCCAGCCCCCACATAAGTGTGAGTGTTCAGTTCTCACACAGGCTCAGGCTTGGAGAATTTCGTGGGGTTGGGGTAGGGACAACAAGCAGGGTCAGGGTCCAAATGTTTCTCTCAGGTAGCTAGGTCTGATAGGCTCTTCTTCACAGCAGTCCATACCTCGCTAGGACCCCAGGCATCCCAGTGCTGCCAGAGCCAGTGGCAGAAAGACTCCAAGACAGATGCCACCTGAGGCCTGTGCTACTTGGAGAACCAAGCAATCTCACTGCTCGCATCTCGGGAGATTCCACAGAGGGAAAGACAAGGGGTCCCTGCTGGTGGAGATGTTAACAAAAGGCAACTCTCCAGCTGTATCCGTCCACCCTGGGTTGGTTGGGCTTCCCTCTGGCACCTCTTTCCCACGTTGACTCACCACATTCTGTACAGGTCGCTGTGATTCCTGCATTCTTTCCTTGGACACGTACCAAATAATGGAGTTCTTCTTGGCTGCTCAACGTTTAAGCAGCATCCAGTTATCCTTCCTATGGTTCCTTGATCTGCTGAATTTCTTTCAGCTGTGCCTGGTCCCTCCTTCACGGCAGCACTACTATGACTAATCCTAGGTCAGCCATCTTAGCTAGCATTCCAGCCTAGCATTCTTGGCCGCATTTGACCAGGGAGCTGCTGAACATATGGCTGGTATAATAACAGAACCCTGTGAGGACACATGGCAGCAAACCAGGATGCTCCCTATACCAAGAGAACCACATGGGATTAGTGGAGTGAAGCAAGAGTGAAGGTTGAGATCACAATCCACTAAAGTTCCTGTGCTGTCACCTTCCTGTTGGCCCAACACATCGACACCCATGCCTGCCAATCCTTGTCATCTGGAGCTCCACAGACCTATGGCAACTGCCTTACAAACCTATGGGCATCAAACTGTTACAACGAACCACTAAAAACCCCAAACATGCACCCCGACATACCCCCTTTGGCAACTGCTTGTTATTCGAGGAATCCAAGATGCATGACAGCTTCTGGCATGTATCTGTCTCCCATTGTAGCACTGCAC